GCTAGAGTGTATGATGACGAGGTTAGGAAGTGGATCGGAGGAGTGGGAGTGGAGAAAATCGGGAGCAAGCTCGTGAACTCGAGAGAGGGCCCACCGACATTCGAGCAGCCCAAGATGACGCTTGAGAAGCTACTCGAATACGGGTTTATGCTCGTTCAAGAGCAGGAGAATGTGAAGAGGGTCCAACTGGCCGACAAGTACTTGAAAGAAGCTGCGCTCGGCGAAGCTAACAAGGACGCTATCGAGAGAGGAACTTTCTTCGGTGGGGCTTCTTCTTCCTAGGAGGTGTGCTGAAGGAGTACCATATAAGTTTGTCCTGTAACTTTTGTGTTTTGCTACAACAAATTGGCTGTATATTCTACATGGTCTCTTAAGCAGCCCTTGCAACTTAATTAAAAAAATAAAAAAAAAAAAATTAAACAAACATGCTAAAATTAAATGCTTCTGCCAAAGCCAGCTGCTTTGAACAAAACAGTTCAGAAAAGCAAGAAAGGGAAATAATGTTTCAAATTTATTCACTATTTTAGATCTTCATAGTTCATACAAACCACATATACATACATGTTCAAGGGCAGAGTCAAGAGACACCCCTCCATCAGGGGGCTACCTAGAAAACAAATATTCAGAATTTATAGTATTTCCTCTACATGAGCATAAATAAATTCGGAAAACTCTTCCGAATTCACCAAGGCTTCAAGTGAGCTAATATATATATACTCGTCTGACTCGGTTTAACGATGTTTCTTACTTTAGCCTCTATCCACATCTTCTTCCTCTGCCTTTATCAAGGGAAATTTCGCCGGCGAACCTATTTGGTCGTCGATTTTGTCTTCTCCGTTTTCTTCACCATCTTTCACCCGGTCAAAAATTTCATAATCATCAAATCCTGCAGAGTGAAAATTTATTTCAAATTACATATATATATACACATATATATATATATATAAATATATATATATATATATGTATATATATATTATTAGCTAAAAAAAAAATTCCATTAGCGTTTTCCTCTAGACGTGCTCCATTTTACCTGCACCGAGAGCCTCAACATCATCAGTTTGTGGGCCAAGGGACATAACATTACCCAAAGGTGGATCGACGGCCATCCATTCTGTATTTTCAGAGCCCTCTGAGCATAAGTCTTTATTATCCACAACCCAATCCTCAACCAAGTTAATGTGTTCATAAGAAATAGGATCAACGGCTTTGGGTAGTTTGTTGCCAGTAACACTGCAAAATTAATCAAGAGGAAATACTATCGACATTATTGTTTTGCAACCGACCTTTTTTTTTTCTAAACTTTCAATTATGAAAAAAAAAAGAGAAATTTATATGTCTATTTACATTTGCTTCATGGACATGTTGTACTGGACAAAGACGAGGTCACTGAGCCTCTGATGTTCCAAACAATTTTTCGTCTCGTGCATTTGATCGAGAGGAATTTTATCAGTCTTATGATGGATCAAGCAGCAAGTTTGACTGAGAATGCGGATAGCTAATCGAGCCAAATTAGGGCATCCTCCACCATAAGTTAGCCACCACTCAGCTGAAACAGTAAATATACTTACAATTTACACTTGAGGTTTCGCAAAATAACCAAAAAGATATACGATAAAGTATACTAAGCCTCAGCGGTTTGTAATTACCCTATTGATAATTACTACTTTTACTATTGTATCTGGCATATGTACCTGCCACTCTCTGGTCTATCAACAGATAATCATGCAACAACACAGGTAAGCAGCTTGCTTCAATAAACACAACTATTCTAGAAAAGAAAAAAATGCTTGAAATCACCAAAAACGACTCACAGGGAAGCAAAGTGTCTCTAGCTCTGATAGCCATCTTTCGACCAAAGTCTCCCGCACCTCCATGGTAAGCTGCTGTTTCCTTCATAATCTTATCCTGGACCGTCGGATCAGGAACCAATTTCTCTATGCAATCATACACCAATGACCGAATGCGAAGATGAGCATCCCCTTCAAGACTGTAGAAAAACTTGGGATTCAAATAAAAACCCGCCGCGTGAAGAGGGTGCCCTTGCAGCAGCTCCCAACTCCGGTCGATAATATCCCAATATACCAAATACTCGTCCTTTTCAACAAGCTCCTTCTTTATAGCCTCCTTCGCCCGGTACAAACCTGCATACACATACCCCATGGCCGGCCAATTCCCGCTGTTCACTATCCTCAAAAGACGTAAAATTGGCTCCACTATACGAGTTATTGACGAGCATGCTGACCAGAACGACTGGCTGCTGACTGTATCCAAAACCGAAAACCCGCCTGGACTTTTCGAGTAAGGACTCTCCATCCATTCCTCGGACGTGACCATTGACTGCAGGTGGTTCCGAATCCCCACCATTCTCCTCAACGTCATGAAATCTGTAGACGGGCGGGTCGGGCCCAAGTCAACGAGGTCAACCCCGAACGTGTACCGCCTCATCATGTTCAAGACAGGCCCACTCGAATACACGTATTTGGAGACCGATTTGGCCTGCTCGAGCACTGCAGCCACAGAGGGGATTTGTGACATATCATTGAGCATCTGATCGATGCACCTGCCAGCGCATGGGGCCCAGAAGAGGGTCGGGTAGACCTCAGCCAGCCTTTTTCCAGCGAGAATATACTTCTCCTCGGAGCCCGTCACCACCTGGAGAACGTTTCTCGAGCCAACTTCCTCTACCGCTGACCTCAGCAGCTCGAATATGAGGTCGGAAGAGTCGGGCGCGTGGGACACATCGGCCGATCGGAGGAAAACCGTGCCCTCGGGACAGTACGCAAAGAGGTTGACAAATGTCTTGCTGGCAGTGGACGAGCTCCGCTCGTCCGCCAGGACCGTGCAGCCGGTCCTCATCCAGGCCGACGCGCATCGGTCGAACTCGCCCCTCGTCTCGTGGACGAGGTTCCGTAAGACCGAGCCTCGGAGATCGTGGTAAGTGGGGCCAACGACCCCGGGCCCTTGGGAGGCTATGGCGTCGAGCATCGGCTGGAAGTGGGCCGACATCACGGCTTCAGGGGGAAGGCCCACGTTATGGAAGAACCGGCCCACGGCCATGTTGACAGTGCTGCTTATTTTCCTCGAGTTGTTCATGGGAAGAAGACAGGGATAAGAAGCATCCGGGGCTTTCCGAACCCTCCCTTTCTTCTTTCTTCCACTGGTGTCCTCTCTGTTCACGAACACGTCCGGTTCATGCTCGGCAGTTTCAGGTAAGGGGAGCAAAACGACCTCCGTGCTCAAGGGGCCGCAGTTGTTTGGGGTTTCAGCACCGTGGGGCCCAGGACTGTCGTATACCGATACTTCCTCTGCAAGTTTCTGTTTTTTCCGCTTTTTCACGGCAACCCCGTTCAGGCTCTCGAGCATTTGCAGGCGCACGTCGGGTTGGACTCGGAGGCAAGTGGCGGCATTGCCTTTCTGACCCGCGAGATGCTCTTTGATCCGGTGAATGCCGCCGCCCTTGAAAATCTTCCCACAGTATATGCACTTGAGCTGAACCTTGTCACCGTTTTTGAACATCTGGCAGTGCTTCCACGCCGGGTCATGCTTCTGTGAAGTCACTGCCACAGGCTCCTCCATACCAGAAAATCACACGAGTATCCAAAATTGTGGTTCACAAACCCAAAAGCCCTAGAAAGATGAATACGCGAAAGAAACACATAAAAATTGCGTTCAGCCCGAAAAATTGTAAAAATGTCGTCTTTAACACGGCAATACACATATGCTACATCTGAATTAGAGAAACCGGCGTAAAAAAACATTCTTCGGCTCCCAAAATCAATTGTTGTTTCACAGGCATTCATGAATTGAAACGAACGGACCCAGTTCAGAAAACGCACCAACATTCTCATCTACAGTGAAAAAAATACGTGAATTTTGGCAGGAAAATGAAGATTGGGTTCAGACAAAGCTTACCTGAAATCGGTGGCTGTGGCTCAGTTTTCTTGTCAATTCGATCGAGATATGGGAAAAAGAACCGAGTTACGAGGATTAGGTTTTTTATTTCGATGTGTTTTCAGTAAATAGAATTGTGAAGAGTCGATGGACAACCGGATAGACCGGTCAGTGTAGCGGTCATTCTGGTTTTTGTAATTTTTTTTTTTTTTTTTTTTTGGGGTAGGGTATAAAAGGGGGAAAATGCTAAGGTCCCGTATCATACCGTCGGGTATTTTAACCGTTGGATCAACATGTAGTTAGCTAAGATAGATGATCCAACAGTTAAAATATCCAACGGCATAGTACCGTAACGGAACCTTAGCATTTTCCATAAAAGGGTACTCTGCAGGGCAGACCGATTATTTTTCTTTTTATGTGATTGCGGAAAAATAAATAAATAAAGTTTTCTTGTGATATTAATCAAATTTTCTTTTAAGAATTAGTGCAAAGTGCATTAAACTAAATTCACCAATGCAATTAATAAATCGAATTGAAAACTTTGACTAGGTAAAAAATTTGAATTGTCAAAATTTCAAAGAAAATCATGATTTGTTTTTTTAAATTTCATTTAAGTATATCTTTTAATTGTGTTAATTTAAGACGTGTCATTTTAATTTGGAATAAGCTACGTGTATAATTTTTTTGTACAACATTTCATGACAATATGATATGGCATGATGTGGATAATTGATATACAAATAAATATGAAAAAAATTACTTTTATAATTTTGTTGTACAATAGTTCATGACAACAAGACGTGGCATGATGTGGATAGTTGAGATATAAATAAATATATGGCTACGATTTAATCTAATGAAAATTTTAATTAATGTTAGACAATATATTCAGTAATCTTGTCTGCCATAAAGGATGTCACAAGTAGCCTTGACTAAGTTACCACATTTAGCATCAATACTGCTTCTAGAAACTAAAAGATGCCTTTTTGAACTCTAACTAATACGATTCTTGTTTAAGTAGACACAAAATTCAGAAACAAACTTCCTGTCATCAGGATCAACGACCCAATCAGCATCGACATAGACAGGAATATGAAGATAGGGACAGCTGAAAAGGTGCAAACCAAGATCTATAGTGTCTTCCAAGTATCTGAAAACTCTTCTCATAACCTTCCAATGATTATCAAGAGGACAATGCATAAATTGGCTCAGTGTGTTCACAATAAAATAGAGATCAAGTCTGGTTACTGTAACATATTGAAGGCCGCGAATCATACTCTTATAAAAAGCAATCTCATCAATACTAGAGCCATCTGTTTAGGAAAGTGATGGATGAGTGTTCTTGGGGTAGTAGAACTTCTAGTTGCTTGCATACTTAGTTCAGAGCCTCTCCAGCGCTGCTTTACATTAGAGAAAATCGCCAGTGTAGAGTGGAGAAATCCTTCCAACGCTGCACCCAATTTATGCGTTAGAATGAATAAAATAACAGTGATGCGCCAATTCTAGCGCAACATGTTGTTGCGCCAGATATTTTTTCTTATATTTATGTAGTTTAATGTAATATTAATGATAATTTTCGTATAATGTGTATTATTAAATATATTTTTATGCTAAATAACTTCTTGTAATGTATTTTTTATGCTAAATAAGTTTGTACTTTTTATTTGTTGATGTATTATAAATTTATTTTATAACTTTTTAGGGTAAAATATTTTTTCCCATCCGAACTATTACGGTTTTGGCGCATCACCATATAAACTATTTTTTTTTACAAACCACCTTATGAACTATACGGGTTTGTCAATGTTCCCCCTAAACCGGATATAAAAGTGGTTTAGAGGGCACATTGACAAACCCGTGATAGTTCATATGGTGGTTTGTAAAAGTATTTAGGGGGCACATTTGGTGACCAAACAGTTTTTTCAGTCAAAACCACTTTTATATCTGGTTTAGGGGGCACATTGACAAACCCATATAGTTCATATGGTGGTTTGTGAAAAAAAAATAGTTTATATGGTGATGCGCCAAAACCGTAATAGTTCGGATGGGAAAAAGTATTTTACCCAACTTTTTAATATGAAAATGGACCATATGAATAAAAATTTAACACATTCAAACAAGTAGATTTCATTAGATGTTCATATATATACCAATTCATTTAAAATAAAAATAGATAAAATATATTTTATTATTTAGGCAATAAACATTTTATACAAAATTAAATATACATATATATACCATTTTATTTGAAATAAAAATAAATATAACCCATTTTTATTATTGGGGTAATAATTATTTATATAAGATTAAATATACATATATATACCAATTTATTTGAAATACAAATACATAAAAAATAATATATTTGATGTAGAATAAAATATAGATATATAAAGGCTGGAGACGAATGTTTCACTCTACTATAGAGTAGAGCAAAGTTCGCGCTAAAGTATAGATAAGGGTTGGAGATGGTCTTAATCAACGATTCTTGAATGTATTTCTTTGGAGAAAGGAAAAGGCTAGTAGAGGTGTGAACAAACTGAATACTCGAGAAATAGTGCAGTTGCCCTAAATCTTTCACAGGGAATAGGCTTGCAGTTGTTGAATAAGGGAGGAAATTTCTGATGTAGAATCAGTGTGGAGGTATTGGTTGTCTGATGAAAAAACCAAGTATTAGACTTAGGAATAGAAAACCCCAGAGATAAAAGAACTGAGCCAAGCTTCTATGATTAAGCTCTAGAGGCTTGTTTGAGACCATAGAGGGTCTTGTGGAGTTTACAAACAAGAGATGGGTCAGAAAGGTTCTCAAAACCAAGTGGCTGACATATAGAAATCAGAGTCCAACTCTCCCTTAAGATAAGCATTAGCAACATCCAACTTTCTAATAGCCCAAGATTTAGAAATAGCAAGGAAAAGAATTACCTTGATTGTTGTTGGTCTGACCACAACACTAAAGGTGTCTGTATAGTCAATTCATGGTGTTTGAAATAGCCTTTGGCTACAAGCCTGCTTTTTACTTATCAAGCGAACCATTCGCACGTACTTTGGTTTTGGTTACCCATTTGCACCCAATTAACTATTTTGTGAGGTGATAGGGTTGTAAGACTCGACATACCATTTATATGAAGTGCTTTGAGTTTATCCATCATAGCTTCTTTCTAAGTTGGAATAGCTAGATTGAGTACATTTGCGAAATCATACTTGAGAGTTGGTTGATCTCCCTGCGATTTACAAATCTTTATGGTGGAACGATTGATAAGTTTAAAGCGCGAGTGATGATCAAAGGCTTTAAACAAATAAAAGGGGTATGACTTATTTGATACTTATTCACATGATATGATATACAATACTCAGAAGCAAAAATACATAAACCGATCAATCAGGTTTGAATGAACCGGGTGGTCGAAGCAGAGCAGCAAGGAGGTCGAATATCAACAAAACATCTTCATGTCGAAATGAGTGAGGGGTTCAGAGGGACAAAGATAGGTCGAGCTAAGACCCTCGGATGGCCTGTTAGAAACTTAACCAGAAAGGACAACAATTAGATTCAGAACATGCAGCAATCTACCTCATGACCTCAAACTAGTACACCATTAGGCGGTATAATATAAAAGACTAATGGATAATAATGAATCTTAAAAGGGTTAAGAGCCACACATAGATAGGGCCACGTGACCCAACAGAGTTGAGTAGTTCGGGCGGTTGGACTTAACGGAAAAAAAAAAATAAAGAAAGATAAAATAACTCACACCTAATAAACAAGGTAGAAAAGTACCTCTCATAAACTTAGCAGTACCCCACGACCACCTAAACACCCCACGACCACCTAAACAGACTACCGAGTCACACCCATAACAAAGAACACCAACTGAGCAACAAAACTAGAAATCAAACCCGAAAAACTGCGATAACTCAAGCTCCTAAACGAATTTATAGTCCAAATTTACACTACGGTTCATCGCACGTAGAGGAAAGGGGATTCGCCAAGAACACACTGGAGGGCCCAACGCAAGGATCCGAGGCCACACCCGCGACACCCCACAGCCTAGGGGCCCGGCCCGACAGAAATTGATGCGGTTAAAACTGTTTTTTCCCATTCTTTCCTGAAAAAGAAAAAATTGGGCCGAGAATAGAGAAAGGAATCACATGGAAAATATTACAATAATATTTAAAATAAAATATATTTAAATTAAATTGATGTAAAAGTAGGAGAGAGAAAATGTGTTGTGATGGTTAGTTAAAATTATATGAGTAGATGAATAGTGAATTAAGGTTGATGTTATATGTAAGAATGAATGATTGATATTATTTAATAATTGATAATATTGATGATAGTGAGGTTGAGCTAAAGTTGAGTTAAAAAAAGTGGTTGAATTAAAAATGATTGGATTTTTTGGGTTGAATTTGTATGAAGCATGCTCTTAAAGATTGGTTAGAATTTTCTGAAATTTTGGGTCGTTGAATATTTGATCAGCATCTCTTTGTTCTGAAAACAGTTAGCAAAAAGCCTAGGGAATTATTTTAGCTTCTCGTAGGCTATTTTCTTTCTGTGTTATTTGTATTTTCTTTCTGTGTTATTGGTATTGTTATTTTCTGAAGTTGCAGGTTCTTGTTGGCTCCTTGTACATTTTTTTTGTTAAGCCCTGCTTGTTTTGAGTGTTTTATTTTGGACTCTAGTCTTTTGC